ACAGATTTAATTCTCTCAACCACCAATATTATTGCAGATACCTTCAGTTTATTAAATCCTCTCTGTTTGCTAATCCTAAATACTTTTTTAAGTTTGTTAATTTTAAAAGAAAAATCTCCATAAATCCCTCGCTTGTTTCTTTTAATGGCTTTGAGCCTTCGGATGATATTTTTTTGAGAAATGCTTCCGACAAAACTTTTTGACTGCTAATTTCGATTTATCAGCAAACTATCCATATCGAATTACCAATTTGGCTTCAATTCCTAATTTGGTTATTTCCGAAAATGACGTTTTCGAAGGGCTGAGCTCTCTAAAATATAATTGTGTGCCTGGACCTGATGGAATTTCATCACGTGACCTTATGTCTTGTGCTTGCCGAGCTATGCAGTGTTATCTCAAAGATTTTAACAAGTCCTTGAGTTTAGGTTCTTTCCCTTTTTGTTGGAAGAGTTGTTTCCTTATTCCTATTCACAAAAGTGGAAAATAGACAACTTGTTGAGAACTACAGAGGCATAGCCAAGTTGAGTGTCTTGCCCAAGTTGTTCGAGCGTATAGTGACTCAGCATTTGGTCTTTGCCATTAATTCGTATATTTCTCCGCACCAGCACGGCTTTCGTAAAGGGCGATCTACAGTCACCAACTTGTTAGAGTTTACCTGTCATGTTTTCAAGGCTTTTTCTAGCGGCTCTCGCACAGATGTTATTTACACTGATTTAAGCAAAGCATTTGATATGGTTAACCATAGACTACTTATCTTTAAACTCCAAGCCTCTGGTTTCCCACCCTACTTAGTGAAATGGATAAGCTCTTATCTGCACAATAGATCCTTCAGGGTTTTGTTTAACTCCATCACCTCGGATGAATTCCCCGTTACGACTGGCGTACCTCAAGGAAGTCACTTAGGTCCTATTTTATTTAGTTAATACATTAACGATCTGCCATCGGTGGTTAATTCCAGCCAGATCTTAATGTATGCTTATGATGTGAAACTGTTTTCTTCCTTCTCTGTTGAATCGCAATCACATCAGCTTCAAGGTGATGTGAATAATTTGGATGCATCGTGCTCTTTAAATCTTCTGAATCTAAATCTAAATAAATGTAAGAAGCTTTCTTTCTTAAGAAGGAAGTCATTCATTACTCAGTATTTCATTGCTTCGCACAAATTGGAGGACATCGTTTCGTTGGCAGATTTAGGCGTGCTATTTGACCATAGGTTACGTTTTAACTTGCATATTGAGCTCTCGTTAAGCAAAGCTAGATCCGCGCTTGGTTTTATAAAGAAGTGGCCCAAAGAGCTTGATGATCCTTATATTACGAAAAGGCTGTACATGTTTAGGGGTCTACCCCTACTTGAGCATGCCTCTGTTGTCTGGTCTCCTTCACATAGACGTTATGTAGATTCAATTAAATCTATTCAAAAGCTATTCTTGCTGTTTGCCTTTAGGAATTTGGGTTGGAACCCGATTGCCTCTCTTCTATCCTATGAAAATAGGTTGCTTCTATTATCCTTACCGCCCCTTGAGAAACGTAGATTTGTTCTTGGGGTTTCCTTCTTAGTCAAAGTAATAAATGGCTATTGACTAGCCCGCATTACTTGGTGAGATAAGTTTTAATATCCCTAACCGCTTCTCTAGGCACTTTATCTTGATTAAGCTTAGTCAATGTAAATATTATTATGAGCTCTTTAACCCGCTCACAGTTGTTTGCAGAAATCTAAATGATGTCTATCACTTATTCTCATTATCGGATCCTTTAAAGAAATTAATATAATATGGAAGTCATAAATATCAAGCTAGCTATTAAGAAAAGAAGAATTACTCAATTTAAACACAGAGTGATATAATGAATTCAACTTATTAAATTTTGTTCTATATTTCTATATATCAAATTTCAATTTTATGACCAATATGTTTTCAAATTCTACATTTGGTTTGTTTATTTATTTACTCGTCTGCCTCTTCGCTGCATTATTTGGTTATATCTACCCGACCGCACCAAACATTCACAAAAACGGTTGATATGAAACCCGACACGAAGCAATCTGGTACTATCAACCCAAATCGTTTCGTATGATAGGTTAATAACGACAATCGTGAACCTATCCAAGGTTTTTCAGCTAATACGAATGACACATTGATCCGATATGCTTGATTTTCGGGATTGACGCGAATGAAAATTTTAAACAATAAGTTCATAAACAGATAAAGAGATCAATTTTCGGGATTTTATGTTTATTTCGACCGTCGCTTAAATTTTTTCGGTGCAAAAGCAAGAAAGACAAAATACTTTGATTAAAACAAATTGAAGTTTTTATTATACTGTTATTTTCCATCAATATTTTATTGTATGATTAGTTGCTTAGTTGCTAGCTTGGTTAGTTAACGAATTCATTAAGCAGCACAGACCATTACGGTTTTAATCTTATTAAAAGCTTCTGTATATATGCTGTTAACCTTAAGTCTAAAAATTATGTCTTATAGATTAATTTTACTTATGGTTTGCGTTAAATATTAGTATTTTATTTCTTAAGCCACCGAATTTAATTAATTTTAATGTAATAAGTAATACTCTTATTTGATAATGAATATTTTTAAACATAGTTATCATAATCTTAATATAAACGCACATCTCGTCATTAAATGAAGCTGCATATAATGTGTTGCATAAGAGTACGCAGTTTTTTTTCAACATAACCAAAAAAAAAAAAATCTGTGTATTTTGCAATTAAAACCTATAAAGCCCTATGTTCATTCTATCAACTCTGCCACTTAATATCGACTCTTCTATTCTAAACATAAACAAGTAATAAAACTGTAATCGGGAAAGGCCCACCATTAACTGCCCTACACGACATTACCTAATACAATCGTCCATTCATTTTCGCGACAATGCACTAAAATTACATCTTGTTTTCATGTAAAGATGTACATTTAATTTTGTTCAAATTAAGTAAATTTAAGTTTTATGTTAAAACTTTATTTTTCTTCATCTATTTTCGTCACAAAAAATCCCAAATTAGACTTTGTAACCATATAAACCCTTACTTTTCATAAGAAAGCTTATATAAGGTGGGGCCTACAAAATGAATTTATGTGGTACAAATACACTTTTTTGAGTTAGTACCAATTCCAAAACCAATTTTTAGGACGAAATATTAAAAACAAAACCTTTTTGTTACATCAAGGTTAAGTTTTTGTAGGAAAGATTATGTGGGAGCGCAACCCATCCAAATATTTCGCATTATTATAGTAAAGAAGTGCCGGCAAAAGTGGTCTGATTCAATCCATTTCCAAAATGGATTAAACGATCAATGTACCAAATTTTGTCCAACCATCTCAAAAACTCCGATGGAGCGCAACACGCGAGAACAGACACCGCAAAGCAGGGTAAATTTAAATTGATAAATCCATCAGTAAAGTGAAAAATAGGTCTACGTTAACTCCTCGCGGATGTTGTATACAACTTCACATAGTATACCATAAGTAACAGAGAATATAAAAAGTCAGTGTTTAGAGGATATTATTTACTGGTTTTTATAAGCATTTTTATAAATTTTACTTTAATATAATTAAGGGAATTACATAACAGGTGCTTACAAAGTGAAATTAACACTTTATGCCCACCACGAAAAATATATATTTACTAATTTTTCCTTTCTGCATGTCACGCCTGGAATTATATATAATGGAATAGACAATGGTCCCTAAGCCAGTGTAGCTTCGATTTCGGAGAAAATATGGAAACAATTTTCGGTTAATATACATATTTTAAGCTTCACGAGGAAAGTAGTCTCTTCAGAACAATTAAAAGCCAATGAAATACAACGTTGAAAATTCGAAGGTGTTACTGCCATTAATTTGGGTCTAAGATTTAGTATAAATGCTTGTATCGTTAAGCAACAGTTTGATTCAGAAATAGTCCCAGAAATAACAAAAGACCATGGCATTTTATATCTACAATTTTTTTTACGGGTGTTATGATTTGCTTCAAACGGAATCTAACCATCATACTTGTTATAATGAAATCAGGATTTCTGCCTTAAATAAAAAAAGAATGCATGTATTTTCAATTAGAAAAACCAACTAAGGGCTTATATAAGTAAGAATAATTATATAATAATATAAGCTATGTGCTCTAGGAAGTATAAAAATTAGAGGATACAGGAAAACATGGTAGTGGTTCACATTGTTAGGGAGTGTGGACCGAGAAACAAGTTAGACAACGTTTAGACTCTACCATTTTATATTTCTATTAATGATGTCTTTTTAAACTTTTTTTATACGTATAAATACTTTAATACAACTTTGCATCCCATGAAGATATCTCCAAAAACTTGTGATCTACATGCAAGATAATTTTAACATTCAGTTCAAAAGTGGTTCCAGTTAGTTTACTAACATGTGCTAAGATTTAATGTCGAATTTTTTTCCAATTTACTTTAACATATATCAGCGTGCTCTTCATTCAATTACGAATAAATTAGAAATAAGTTGCAATTAATATTTTATCCTTGATTGCAGACGTATCAATAACCCGATTGGAATTGTATTTAACTTTGCATTTTTAATCGATTTCTAATCTTGTTTGCTAAATTTTAGCTGCCTACCTTCATTTCTACGACTGTGGCAAATCGACAAAGATAAGTGATCAAAATGATCCTTGATGATAGAAATAGGTATCTCGAAAACAACGCTAGGCAGAAAAATATTATTTATAAGTATGTGTAGGTTTTTTTCTTACAAGTCAGCAAAAAATCTTGGAATATTACCTGCGGAATTATAAACTTTTTAAAGATCGGAAATTAAAAATGATCAAACTCAGGACCAGAGTCGGTAGTTCTAGTGTTAAGATCTTTTAAGCTCTTTTTTAGTTTCAAATACGTTAGAGTTTTTCATAACGTTCTATGTTCATTCCAAATGTGATATTTAAATAAAAATTGTTTTCATCTTCACATTATTTAAATTATAATTTGTTATATTTTTGTTTGTTTTCACTTTTAATTTTTTTAATTTTTATCCTTTTTGTCGTTTTAACTAGTTACATTATTTATTTTCTAAAAATTTCTTTTCATTTTTGCCTAGACTTTTCCTTACTCTCCTCGTTCGCTTAATTTTGTGTTTTCAACGATTTAAACACCGATTATGGCTTTGAGAAAATGTGTGAAAATAATCAATTAGGAATTATTATATTTATACATTGGTTTATGATCGCTTTGTAAAAATGAAAATTTTAAAAAAGTTTCAGTGGATATTCGAAGCTAAGTTCTTAAATTTAGTTTACCATTTATATATTTATGACAAGAATGGATTCGATGCCACTGTCTCCATCTTTACCCACGACATATTATTATTATTCTGTAAATAAATGGAAAGCATAACGGGAAATAATAACATTTTTTACTGTTGATATTAATTTATTAAGAGCATGCACTCTTTATTTATCACCTAAACATTTTATATTTTATTTAATTATCGCCATAAAATAATTTGAAAATGCAAACAGTTAGGGAAATATTATCTTAGCATGCAAATAAATTTTTCGCTAAACAGGATTTTTTGCTAAATTGTTTAGTGCTTCTTTAATAATTGACTTATCAAATGAAGTTTAAAAGCATTTATTGTTTACCATTTTATTTAAGAGTCCAAGCTTCCGCTGATGGCTATAAGATATCAAACAAAATAATTCAGTCATATGCTTAGTTAAGAATTTCAAAAAATATTAATGTAGCGTTTAACTGAGTCATCCGAAATACATTATTAAAGAATTAATCGATGAATTCACTAATCAGAAAAAATGGCTACCAGTAGATATTTGTAACGAAGCTACACAGCCGTTTTTTTTATTAGTTGATAAGCTCGTTACATATTAGGATAACACCTTTTTCGGAAAGCTAATGAATTTGAGTTGCCTGAAATTAGAAATTGATACAGATAAGATTACCGGCACATTAGATTAAATAATTATAACTGCTGGAAAAGTATTTATGTAATAAGTCTAGATTAATTGCAAATCATGTCTAAATGAAAGATGCTTTTAACACTTCATAACCATTCGGAGAGTAGTTTGCCTTCCTTCTCAACTAGCAACCATTTGGCCTTGTATCCACGATTTGTTCTATAAGGAAGAATGTGGATTTTCATTATTTCAAATGCAGTAATTGTATTTATTTATGATTAAAAACAATCTTCATCCGCTTGAGCAGCCGAGTAGGCAAAGGTTCACGACTAACAACTCAATGGTCGCGGGTTCAAATTTCAAGTGCGCTAAACTTTTCAGTGTATGCGAATATATAATCAAAGTTATCGGACAGTCTTTAAATCCATACTTAATAAATGTATTTATATAAATTAAAGAACAATCTAAAGTTTTTCGGCATCCGTTTTCATAATAAAGAAAAGAAAGAAATTTTTACAATATGACCAAAATTATTTTGATTATCAGCTGCATATGGATAGTTAAGCCTTACGGGTGTGTTATTGCTACAAATCCACTCATCATTGGAGGTAGTAGAAAGAAGAAGATACTGAATACTATCAAAACACAAGGTCTTTGAGAGCTCATCCACTCTTCTATTGGAGGTGCAACATTATCTAAATGTAGAAGAATATTAAATATTGGCAGCGGAGAACCTAATCTCTTACATTTTCTAAAAAGATGATTATTCTAACACAATAAACGGTGCAAACGTAGTGGGATTGAAAGTCATATCTTTTTTTTTTTAAATAGGAGCCAAACTGAAAAATTGCCACTTAAAATTAACAATGAGCGCCTTGTAATTTTTTATTAACTTATTTAATTTTGTAATTATAAAAATCATATCCGCGCATAGTTACATACTTTAAGTGTTTTATAATGTTCATGTGTGTTTCAAAATGAATGTAACATTGGAGAAATAAAATTAGATCACTAAGTCAACGGTTACAAAAAACCTCGTGAACAAAGGAAGAAAACATCGATCATTGCCAATAAACACTTATAAATGATTCAAGTCAGTTATTGATAACTGATTTGAGTACGGCGATTAAGTCAATGCAGCAGTTTATATGTGACATTAGAAATATGTGAGCGTTAATTGGCATGTAAACATATATATTGCGGCTTTCGCAACGCTAGACATATTCTTTCTTTGTATGTTCTAAAGCTTAAATTATTATCAAATATTATGCCAAGACGTTGTATAGATTCAACGCATCCAACATGGGTTCAATACATTTTATATAATTTCGTATTAACATTCACGACATTATTAAAAAAAAGAACAGTTCTGGATGTGTTAGCGTTTATAGAGAGAGGATGGTTGAGGAAATTCAGAATTGACGAAAGTATTATTAATAGATACGAACAGCTTGCGGTTGAGTGGGTAAGATTACATGCACTTCTAAGAAGCTAAAATTTTATTTCGTGAAAGGCTTTCAAATTCAGGCAGACAAGGGCACATATTTTATTACCAATTAAGACTTTCTACGAACGCGGTATGCAAATGGGCGTCGGTTGTACAAAGGAAACTCCATATGCTGTTTAATAATATACTCTACAATTTTGGAAAAGGATGACAAAAGTTGTTCAACGCTAAGTAATATTTTAGTGTCAATATTGGTCCAGTAATGTGAGATCAGTGGAAATAAAGTTCAAATAATTTAACAAAAATTTCATCGACGTCTACAACGCCTTTTTACAAGATAGTTATTGGTTTCGTAGTCATGCATCAAGGGCAGTAGTCCTTTTTTTTATCGTAGAATCTCCCATATATTTTTTGGAATCACGTCACAAACAGGACTTTAGACTAGCAACGTTTTCCTTAACACACAGAAGATTTAACCAGGTTATATATATCTGTTAACACACATTATTTTTATGCCAAGTAAAGTGTTGATAGGATACACCTTTAAGCCAGCGCAAGCCCACTCTGCCCCGGGAGTGAACCCATAAATCGTGATATAGTAGGCACTAGTAACTGATTTCGAAATAAATTTAGATCATGGAAAGCCTATTTAAGAAATTGAGTTGAATATTTGCAGCATTAAAAGTACGCAAGGGAAGAATTGAATAGTATTCCATAAGGCATGCAGATTTAAATTGAAGATTGAAGCGAGTTGGTAAGAGGTTATGCCTGTAGATGAAGTCATTGCAGTAATTAAGCCAATCGTGATGGGAAGAATGGGATGAATGAAAAAACGATAATCAGACTCACTTACTATAACAACTTTATTATAAACAGTGTAAACAAATCCAAACGTTCTATTTTGAGTCCATTTTTCGTCTGGGATAGTAAATTGTGCCGGAGTCAGAAATGTAACTATAGAGCAATTCTGTAGTCAAAGCCTTCCAAATTTTCTTAAGCATACGTTTTAATACTAGCCCAAACTTTGAACTTTTGCACATGTAGATAATCAGCGCCTTCACCCAACTTCCAGACACACGTTTGTGTTTTGAATAAATAATTTGTAGAAGCTAACATCATGGCTTCCGCAGTTTGGATAAAATCAAGCTGGGTGTTCCGATAAGATTGACAGCCGTGCCGATGCGTAGATTATATTAAAAGTATGGCAACTCTGCCATGACTGTTTACAAAATGATCAATACACATCCGACTTTTCTATTTTATGTATAAGAATCTACGTATACCATCGCTAGCTCATCGTCTGTACAAGCAATAAAAAAATAATAAACCCGCCCCCTCCACATTCATTATTTTCGTTGCCGATTTTGGTTTTGTTGGAAACGTTTCTGCTACTTTTCATGTCGCTACCGCGACGCTTGCATATAAATCATTTTATTTAGGTTGCTGATCGAAATAACAACTATTTTTGCCCAGACTTACAACGGGAAGGGCAAAAATATGATAGACTAAGAATAAAACAAAAAACTGAAAATAATATGGACATGAACAATCCATAAAGGGGAGTGTCCAAAAAATAACGTTGTGTAAAAACAAAAATAAGTAGTGCAAGTAAATAAAACTGTAAGATCAGAGTAAAAAAAAATAAAACAACGTTAATAATGTAAGAGAAAGAGAAGCTCAAGTTGACATGACAAAGAAGAAGTGTGTGGGATAGAAGCATGAAAAATTATAACGTACCGTAAAAGGAAGGAAAAAAGAAAACGTATGGAAAGAACAAATGCAAAAATAAGCATATTTGTATTGACACTAGACTGTTATTAAAGTTGGAGAAGTTGGAAAACCAACAACTATGCCCTTAGATCCTAAGTAATGGTTGTAGTTGTTGCTCCCATTAAAACTTTGTCTGATTGTAATACCGTAGTTAATTTTTTTGTCTTGCTTTCAGGAGTCTGCGAACTTTGTTGTTGTTGTTGATAAATATCCTGAACACAATAAGTGCTGACGTTTTACATACCTTCATCCCTATCGTTGACAGTCATTTTGACGCAAAATTTTGTGCCATTGGAAAAAGGAATGTAAAAAGTTGAAATTTGGCATAAGCATTCCTTGGTCGATGCAGAACCCAAAGTTAAAAAATGATTGTTGTCACTTATACGACCGTTAGATTAGAAAATGAGACAGCCTAGAAAAGCGCTTTTTTCATATTTTCATTTATTATTTACGGTCCCGTGAAGGTATATCCGAACATCAGTTACCTAATATGTTTGCCAAAACCACCCGCATGTACAACCCATATAAACCACGTAATATAAACCATCTCCATAAATAGTCCCCATCGGTTTAACAATACGTTCACAATTAACGATAAAATTTTATTTCGAATTTTTTCAGTACAACGGCAACTCTGTACAAGCGCTGTGGTCATATTTTTCTCTTTGTGCAAAAAAATTTTGCAATTTCTTCTTTATTGCTCTATACGTTTTTAAAAGTGTTCATATTTACTAAAATATATTGAACTTTTTGTGTGTTTATTGCTAAAACTGATCATCGCGGATACCGTTTCATTAAATCCAAAAAAAAAAAGTTGAAAACATTTCACATTATCCTCAGTAGTTTCCCAAACCTTTTCAAGTGAGTGGTTATTTCCAAATTTATTAAATAAGAGACAACCATTAGGCATAATGGCCCCGGGTTCGCCTGATATAAACTCAAATAGATTTCATCTATTAGCAGACGTATCCCCTCAAAGAAAAAAAAATTAAAAATTCCGAATTTCCGGTGTTGCCAACCAGTAGCATCGTTCCTATCGACAAAAAATATGTTGTGATATCTCCAACTGATCCCTCCATAACAATTTCGCAATTCAGCCCTTTCGCTATTAAAAGAGCACTAGATTGCATTACAACGCATATAGACTCTATATCGATTTTACGCGACGGAAATTTACTTGCCCTGGCTGGGAATCCGAGCGCAACCGAAAAGCTCATAAAGTCTAAATCATTAGCCAATTTGTGCGCTATATCCGCTAAGCTGCATGATAAACTGAACTCGGTTAAAGGCGTAGTTTATGCCCCATGCTTAAAGCATGTGCCGGAAGATGAAATTGTGCGCGTAACGGACAGTCAAGGTGTGACTGAAGTCTACAAATTCACCAAATTAAATGACGATGGAAAAACCCGCTCTCCTACAGGAAGAATTATTTTGTCTTTTGATCGCTATCGGCTACCGGCAACGGTTGATGTAGCTTGGTACATATGTAAAGTAGAACTCTACATTCCAAATCCCATGAGGTGTAAAAATTGCCAACGCCTGGGCCATACGGCAAAAAGATGCACCAGTCCTCCATCCTGTGCTAACTGTGGTCTTCCTCCACATCCTGAAAACTATACGCGTAGCTTCTGCTTAAATTGCAATGATCAACACTCTGCGTTAGACAAACAATGCCCACGTTTTATACAAATGCGTGAAATTCTAAAAATCAAAACAGAAAATTACTGTAGCGTGGGTGAAGCGCGACGCAAATACCGCGAAAGAAATCCATCTGTAGCCCAAGGAATTGGAAAAAG